AGGGCAACATGCAATTTCACCTCCAGACCAGAAATGTGCATCCTTGCTTGTTTGTTGACTTTCTGGCTGGGAATGTTTTTTCCCCCTAAAATTATGATGTTTTTGGAGAGGAGAATTTAAATCCTCAACTCAAAATAGTAGGTTGCGAGGGTTGAATGGTGGCCATTCAGTATAGGAGAAGGCCTCTGGATGAGTTATGCCTTATTGCCAGTTTGCGGTAAGAGAAAACAACACACACACACACACACACACAAACACACAAACACACACATATCGGGTGGGGGGGAGCAGGGGGAGGGAATTGTAGAGCTGCCTCTTGCAAATTTTTCTGAATTCAGGAGCTTGTTTATTTAGTATTTTTGCAAAACAGCAGTGAGGAGGTGAGGAGCAATGCCGGGAGGATCCAACTTGGGACTTCATTTAGACGTGTGTCCAAGGACACACACACCGCACAATCTGTTTATGTTGGATGCAAAGAAAGGCACCCGGTGTGTTATTTGGTGTCAGCTCCGTCCACTCCAACTCATCCTAATAAGCATGCAGAGAGGGAAATGCGAATAAGCGAGAATAAGGTTTAAGACGGTTGCCCTCAACTCTACCCCTCACTCCTCCAGATCTCTCTGACTTGCCTTTTACTACTGGAGGAATTATGGCTGCGTGCCGTAATTCCTCCAGGCGCTTAAAGGGGTTCTTCTTAACCTTCTGAATGCATCCTTCCTGCAGACTGAGGCAGGAGAGATGGCATCAATAATTCTGCGCTCCCAATTTATTTTTTTTATTGGGACTGGCTTCCAAGTCACCTGTCTTCTTCTTATACCGTAATTTTTGGAGTATAAGACGCACCTTTTCCCCTCAAAAAAAGAGGCTGAAAATCTGGGTGCGTCTTATACACTGAATGCAGCATTTTTGGCCTCCCGAAACCCCGCCCCCTTCACCAAAATGGCCATGAAGAGCCTTTAGGAGGCTTCCAGACTGCTCCTGGGGGCTGGGGCAGAAATGAGCGAAAAACGGGCCGTTTTTGCTCGTTTTTGCCCTCCCCTCCCCCAATGGGCACTCTACAAGCCTCCTAAAAGCTATGCATGCCCTTTTGGGGGGGGGGGAAACTAGGCCTGTTTTCACAAAAAACAAGGCATTTTGGGGAGGTCACCAAAGTGCAAAAACTTTTTTTTTTAATTTGCCTCTTCAAAATCTTGGTGCGTTTTATAATCCCAAAAATACGGTGTAAAACACACACACACACACACACACACACACACAAAGTCACAACCCCTGGTATGCCCCAATTATGGGAGGAAGCTAACTGCTTCCATTCTCTGTCAATCGGCTCGTCACAAGAGTCCATCACGACAGAAACCCAATATTTTTACTGTTGCCTTTGTTACATTTGTATAGTATTTGTACTGATAAATAAATAAAGGGAGACTAGTATAGGTCTATTTCAAGCTATTTAGCTCTCATCAGCCAGGTTCGAATGCCAGTAAGGGTATGGCTAGCTGATAAGAGCTAAATAGCTTGAAATAGATCTATATTAGTCTCCCTTTATTTATTTATCAGCACAAATAATACATACATACATACATACATACATACATACATACATACAATGTTTGTGCGTGTGTGTGTGTTCCAGCATAACTCTGGATTGCCTGGGCTGCTGAAACGAAAAGGAATGAATTATACCCATAGTATCAAATCACAGTACTTTTGACAGTGATCGTGCTCCTTAGTGTGATAGTGTTACGCTACAGGAGAGGAGAAATAAATCTTACCCTTTCAAAAAAAATACTTGAATATTTTTTTTTTAAAAGAAAGACCCAAGATCTTTTGAAGGGAAGCCAGGAAACTAAATTTCTTTCCTTCATGGTTGGCCGTGCAATTCGCAAGGACGAAAAAGCCTGCAGATGGCTTCATATCATTTTATTGTTTATGAGCCATTTGAGGACCCTAGAAGTGTAGGGCCTATAGGTTAAGCTGGTGCAATTGTCCCTTGCCTCATCTTTATTTACTTGGGCACAAGGAGGAGGATTTTATCACCTTCTCGAGAACATCGGCTTCCATCGAACCCTACAGGACACCTGCTCAGAAGCCGTGAAAACAATAGCCAGCATTGTCGCTCTTATCTTTTGAACACTCTTTCACCCTGGCGCCCATTTCTCTGCTGCTCCTGAGCCAAACAGAAGCGCTTTTTGAGCAGTTGAAAGTGGCTTTTTTTCGGTAATAAAATATACAGCTCTCCCAAGTTGGGGAAGTTGAGGACTGGCTGCCCTCAAGAGCAGCTGCCTGGCTGTGGGGAAAGCAACAGTGATTGGATTTCCCCACAATTGGAGGTCGGTTCTGTTTCCTCAATACGCTGGGTGGCTCTCATGAGGAAGATAGCAATAGCAGTAGACTTATATACCGCTTCATAGGGCTTTCAGCCCTCTTAAGCGGTTTACAGAGTCAGCATATCGCCCCCAACAACAATCTGGGTCCTCATTTTACCCACCTCGGAAGGACGGAAGGCTGAGTCAACCCTGAGCCGGTGAGATTTGAACCGCTGAACTGCTGATCTAGCAGTAGCCTGCAGTGCTGCATTTAACCACTGCGCCACCTCGGCTCTTATAGAAGGTCTGCCCCCTCATCAGAGTTGATAGCCATCATAACCGGCTTATTTATTATTATTTTATTATTAAGTTTGTATGCCGCCCTATTCCCAAGACTCAGGGTGGCTAACAATAAAAAGGATGGGGAATGCCATTCGGTCAGAACTGAAGAAGCTTCTTGGATGAAGGAATCGGGGATGGCCAGTCTAGAGAAAAGAAGGACCAGGGGAGACAGGATAGCAGTCTTCCAATATCTCAGGGGTTGCCACAAAGAAGAGGGAGTCAAGCTATTCTCCAAGGCACCTGAGGACAGGACAGGAAGCAATGGATGGAAACTCATCAAGGAGAGAAGCAACTTAGAACCGAGGAGGAATTTCCTGACAGTGAGAACAATCAACCTGTGGAACAGAAGTTGCCTCCAGAAGTTGTGAATGCCCCAACACTGGAAGTCTTTAAGAAAAGATTGGACAGCCACTTGTCTGAAATAGCAACAGCACTTAAGACTTATATACTGCTTTACATGGCTTTATAACCCACTTTAAGCGGTTTACAGATTCAGCATACGGTCCCCAACAATCTGATTCCTCACTTTACCGACCTCGGAAGGACGGGAGGCTGAGTCAACCTTGAGCCGGTCAGGATTGAACTGCCAGCAGCGGGCAGAGTCCACCTTCAATACTGCATATCTAACCACTTGTGCCACCCAGAGCTCTATTTTGGGTATGGGGTCTCCAGCCTGAGCAGGGAGCCGAACTATTAGACCTCCAAGGTCCCTCCCAGTTCTATTCTGATTGATTGATTGACGAAGGCGCTCCTTTGCGCTCCCAATTCTGTTTGCAAAGAAAATAAAAGAAGTTTTATCTCCTGAGAGATGCAACCCTATCACTATTTCCAGTTGCTACGGGTGCAAACCTATGTGCCCCTGATAGAAATAGGTCCCACTTATTTCAGCCCAAAATCCACCACCACCACCCCAGGTAGGATTGAACCAAATGTGTAACTTTCCGCTGTCCTCAGCACTCTTTCCAGGCAGCTTCTGCGCCCAGAATTCCCTTTTCGTCCCACAGAGCAAAATTCAGGAGCTGGCAAGGCGCCAGCAAGATCGCTCATCACAGCCATTACTCTAAAATTGGGAATTATAGCAGGAGGGATTCTTTTCAAGTCGTTGAACAGGGATTAGTCTTTCCCCCACCCCCCGCCTTCCCTTCCCCCCACCAGTTTTTGCAAGGCTTGTTGGAAGAAATCTCTATTTTCTTGCTTTCGCCTCCTCTGTGGTTTTGGCATAGAGAACTGCAGCCAGCAATCTTTCCTCATCGCCTAACTCCTGGGTTCGCAAATATTGCCGAGTGTTTGCTGAAATGCTGGAAGCCAGGACAGACGATGCAAATTCTATCCGGTTGGGGTTTTTTGATTCATGCGGAGCTGACATGGGGACGAAATTCAGAGAGCGTACAAAACAAGCTTAAAATAAAAGTAGCTTGCGGTCAGCCTGGGGCTCAATGTCTATGGACATTCTCAGTTGTGCAGGTCATTTTTGTCCCAATGGTGCTTTTTTTTCAAGAGGCAACTGGACTTTCGGGGGGTGGGGGGTTGAAGATAGAATAGAATAGTATAACAGAGTTGGAAGGGACCTTGGAGGTCTTCTAGGCCAACCCCCTGCCGAGGCAGGAAGCCGCCCTACACCACTTCAGACAAATAGTTATCCAACATCTTCTTAAAGACTTCCAATGTTGGAGCGTTCACAACTTCTAGAGGCAAGTTGTTCCGCTGGTTAATTGTCCTCACTGTTAGGAAATTTCTTCTAAGTTGATTATTTCCTTAATTAGTTTCCACCCATTGCTTCTTGTTCTGCCCTCAGGTGCCTTGGAGAATAGCTTGACTCCCTCTTCTTTGTGGCAGCCCTTGAGATATTGGACAATTGCTATCATTTCTCCCCTAGTCCTTCTTTTCATTAAAGTTCCTGCAACCGTTCTTCGTATGTTTTACCCTCCAGTCCCCTAATCTTCTTTGTTGCTCTTCTCTGCACTCTTTCTAAAGTCTCCACATCTTTTCTACATTGTGGCGACCAAAACTGAATGCAAATATCCCAAGTGTGGCCTTACCAAGGCCTTATAAAGTGGTATGAACATTTGACGTGATCTTGATTCTCTCCCTCTGTTGATGCAGCCTAGAATTGTGTTGGCTTTTTTGGCAGCTGATGCACACTGCTGGCTCATATTTAAATGATTGTCTCCCATTGCTTCTTGTTCTGCCCTCAGGTGCCTTGGAGAATAGCTTGACTCCCTCTTCTTTGTGGCAGCCCCTGAGATATTGGAAAATTGCTATCATGTCTCCCCCCAGTCCTTCTTTTCATTAAACTAGACCTACCCAGTTCCTGCAACCACTCTGCATATTGTAAC